AGGAGCTGTTAAAGATGGCCTAAAAGATGAGAAACACACACACACACACATATATATATATATATATATATAGCCAGTAATTTATTATTGATAGATGCAACATGTGACTGACAAAATGTCTATTTCAGATGTCTGTTTGGCAGAATCAACTCTGAATATCTAAACTGAATATGATTTATACAGCATTGCAGCTGTTAATCTCGTAACATTGCTTCCTCTTGAGCTCCCTTTGCACCTCCATGCAAGGACTGCCTCTTCCTTTTTGATAGGGCTTGTGCACCTACAGGACTTCAGCCAGCAAACCAGCCTTTTCTGCTCTCCTTGAATGACTGTTTCTGCAATTCTGGGGTAAGAGGGGGAAACTCCACTCTCTGAACCTCTTCCCACAGATCCTCTCCCGCAGATGTCTGACCTTTGGGTTGAAAATGGAGATTGTGAGTGGACAGAAAGCCTTATGCAAACATCTGCACAAATGATTTCACCTAACAAAGCAAACTGACTCTCACCACAATGACCCAACGTGGCTTCAATGAGATGGCTGATGGACCTGGAAAACATATGTGCAGATCCAACCTGCCTACGCTGAGACACAGTGACATTAATGACCGATTTTTAACTAGGAATGGGTTTTATTTTCATGCTTAATTGGGCTTTAAAAACAGCATCTTGGAGTTTGTGCCCTTATTTGGAGTGAAAAAAGGCAGTTTTAATGGCTGTGTTGGTTAACTCTGTCCTGGTACATACTTCAGACACACTTTAGACATCATATTCCCAAACAACCCTTTTTCCCCCCAGTGTGGTAACGGAAACCCTAAACAAAAGACCATGATGGAAGATATAGACAAAGACGTTTTGTTTCTGCACTGCTTTTTGCCTTCTGACTGTTTTTCTACAAGGTTTTACAGTTCTTGAGTCATATATTATCTGACATTGTCTCTACACGTCTCCTATGTTTACTGGGTGTCAGCTTTCAGATCGTACAAAATGTCCGTCTGGGCTACATGTCTCTCCAGAGTTGTAATTTTGGTTTAAGGATAATCATAGAGTATTCTTCAAGTTGCGCAAAGCTTTCATGAAAATGTTTCCATCCAGTTCAGTTGCTCAAAACCTTAAAAGCAGAATTGTGTGCTTCCAGAAATGTAGCTGTGGTATTAAAGTTTGAATCTTCAGAGATTTATTGGAAGACAAAATCTTAAGGTTCTCCTGTGGACTATCTGAATATTCAGATGGGTGGCATTTAAAAACGTTTCAGTTGTACTTGTGTTCTGTGAGTGAACAAAATTATAAACCAGAGCTGCTACCACATCTGAGATGAATCCTTGAGCAATATGTTTGTCTGTGTGGATTTAATTTAGATTTCACAGATACTGTTTGATGCAGTATTCTCATTTTCTTATGCTAGAAGGGAAAATCCAACAGGAAGTGACCGCTTTAGATGACTGCGGCTGGGATGGGAGCTTCTCCTCTGTGGAACAGCCGCGCTGTGGTTTGAGGCCTTTCTCTCTGTACATCTATGCCGTTTTCAGACTACTGCTTTTTTCTTTTCTCCGAAGGGTTCCGGTATGGTCTCTGGCAGACAGACACTGATAATTACTTCCATCTTCCACCACAGAGGCAATGTCCAGTGCAGAGCAAATATCCTATACATCCACCCACTCGCACTAAACTTTTCTGCCTCTACGGAGAATTTGTTCTTCAAATTTATGTTTTTGATTCTAATCTCTCATCTAACCTTCCTGCCTTTTTTTTTTATCTGTCCAGTCTGATGGCTTCTTACAGACAGAGAGACCTTTTTCCACTCCTTATTGTCCAATTCCCAAAGCATTTTATACATGTGGTATTTTAGCCTTACATCATGAAAAATACAAATCAAATTCTACAATTAAATTAATCTTGACCAACCTACCTCCAGTATGACATCACTTATAAGCTCTTTTGACAGGCTCATGATTACATAATGTCAAGGGGTTTACAGTGAGAATGGCCTAGTCTGAAGCACAGCAATGAACAAAAAGACTTCTGGGTACAAAAATGGAGATCTATCGCCCCCTCCTGGAAGGGTTCAGCAGGAACCAGAATATGATCAAGGGATTGGCACAGACAGGATGTTAACTTCAGTCTTCCAAGCAGGTATTTGTAATTGTATTGCTGTAACATGAAGCAATCAAGCGACTTTATGTAGGCTATATAACACATTTTCAAACAACAGCTCAGACAATTTTATGAAACTTAATGAATAGCATAAAAAAAGAACACATTTGGGAGGATATCGTTAAGAAACGAGCCTTTGTTATAAGAACTATAAAAATAACTAATTTAAAAAAAAAAACAAGAAAATGTATTCCTTTAAAACAAAAACTCCCCATAATCACTTAGATTAGAGAAAACAATTAAGATGGGATTTGTTTTTAAAACTTCATGTCTTAATGTATTGGCCATATTCTAGTGGTGTATTCCAGAAAGCAAGGTCATTTTACCATCAAACAAACCCTGAACTCTCGGTTGATTAACCCAAACTTTGCTTACTCAAGGTATGCTTTCTTTTACTGTCTATGGAGGTATGCTGGTACCAAAAACGTGTCCAGGAGTAAGTTCATGTTAACACACCAGACATTCTCAACAGAGCGACGAATCTACACCATGGAAATGGACGCTAAGAAAAACACACCATACCACTTTCTTTTGTTAAATGCCGATTTACATAATGCATATCGCACCTATTTGGTGGTTGTGCAATCATTTTTCAAACTTTTCATTTAATAATCTTTAATCACAGTGAATAAGAACTATATAGTTTGATGCTGATTATATAATCAAAAGAAAGACCGATTCAACTAAATAGTCTGTGCTTGCAACATGGGCTGTATAGGGATCTCCCAGTCACGTGACCCCTAGCCGCTTGTCAGCCATTTTGACGGAATACATCCGTCGGCTACTCATAGATCCATTACCGTGGGTAATATATATTATTAGTATATTATACTAATAATATAATTATTAGTATATTATTATACTAATAATATAATTAGTATAATTAGCCTAAATATTGAAATACTTTGCGCTACAGTATTGATATAATTGCATGCGCAAAATCATGGTACAAAATATCTCGATACTGAACAGAATCGATTTTTCCCCCACCACGTCATGTCATCACACTTATTATTAGCATCACAAAAATAAATATACAAGACGAAGATAAAGGAATTAGGAATCATATATCCATATGAAGCACCACAAGTTCTTTTTACAGGCACACACCTCATTTAAGGTAAATAAAAAGATATAAAATGTATTTATATCTTTAGTTTTCTTCCTCTTTATCCTGTTTTTCTTCCTCGTCCTTGTTTGCCCATCTATATTTTGCTGTAGAGCTGATCTTTCCAAGCAATTTTTTGAAAAGCAGGACATTTTCATCACTTTATAAAAAACAGCCAGGACGGCCAGGACAGGACGTGAAAACAGGACATGTCCTGGTAAAACAGGACTGTTGATCACCCTAATTAAGTGTATCTTTAATGAATTTGTTTAATCTAGTTTGATCCAAGAAAAACGAAATAATAGCCTATATATTCTTTTTTATACTTGTCTCAACCTGTGTTTCTAACGATTTATAAGAAGTGTCAAATAAAATACAAGATCAGCTTTTGGTATTTGAAAACGAAAGAATGTAATGTGATAATAGGCCGCCGCCTAACGAATTAACTGATCTAGGAATGCATGTATGCGTTTTGCCTGTTTATTGCCGCCAACCACTTTTCTCCGTTTTGTTTCTTTTGGGATACGGTATAAAGATATTCCTTTTGTATGATCACGTATCTGATCGCATCCAAATGCACAGCATCGCTCGGGCATGATATGAATATTTCGCGACGAGCTGTATTATCACCGGCGGTTTAGCATTTTCTATACCGTCAAGATGGCTGCTCCAAATGGCGTGACGTCACGCGGGACGTCCCTATAAGGTTTTTTTAATTCTATAAATTATAGCATAAAAAGTGTTGTAAAAATAAAAAGTCTGAATGCAGATCGAGAGTGAGAGAAAAACCATTACCTTGTTTTAATAACACTCATATATCGATATAACATAATATTGTGTGCAATCTGCCAACTGGAGCCTCAATGAGCTGAACATCTCTGAAGTAAACCTAAACCTGGAACGGAGCTTATCCAGAGCAGGTTATGTTCAGAACCTTAGGTAACAGAAGAGTAGGTGGTTGCTATGGCTTCTTACCCTGAAAGTTAACTCCGTTATTGGAACCGAAAGTTGAGGTTCTCCGCTTACTTACCTTAAACATACCCGGGTATGTCACAACCTGCGTTCTGGAAAACACCCAAGGATGACAATGTCAAGATTTATCAGGCTCAAATTGTGAACGAATGGTTAGGAGGGACGGAGCATGAATAATTATTTTCACTCATGAATCCAGACCTTAAATTCATTGAAAGTCTTTGGGATGTGCTGGAGTATAGAGTGCTCAACTCTTGCATTGTCAATACAAGATCTGGACCAAAAATGTATGCATCGCTTGATGGAAATTGTCACAACATTTATTTCCTTTAGGAGGTGCATAATTTTCGGTCAAGATCTTGTATTGACAATGGCCATGATGGGTCTTCCTACATGGTCGTTTTAGAAATGAAAAGCTACTCAATGAATTAGGGTTAGAAGAACTGTTGCCACACATATAATGCTTGAAACATAATCACTACAATGATCCAGTCATAGACTCTTAAGCATTTGCCCATGTTCAAACAGATACTTTTTTTTTTTGGCCAAGCAGTGCATTAAGCACTGCATAGTAGGAATGACCTCCTGACAGTTGGGAGCCTGTATGCGTGCGGGATATGCCAAAAGAAGAATTAAAGGCCGATTCCAACAAAATTTTCAAGAATTAGACAATCATTTCACCCATTTGACCACAAAATTCAAAAGCACAGCATGTGTCAGCACAAAAAGGGTTTATTTTTATTAAAACATTTAAAAATGACAAGACAAAAACTTAAATCTAAATGTTATTTAGACTTTTTAAACGGGTCTTGAACGGTCCTTGGGCTGAATAAGAGGCTTGTATCTTCTCACTGGATGAGCTTTAAAATTTGAACTCTGGAAAATAAGTCAAAAATATTGATTTACACAAATTAGATAGCCTAAGTTATAGTTTCTTCAGAGTAACAGGTTTTTCAGAGGACAACACTCACCCATAGCTGTTCTTGCATCTGGCGCATCTCTCGCAATCTCCTCTCACGTTCGACTCTCTGTGCAGAATCACGCGCATCAAAAGAGAAAGGCCGAAAACTAGTCAAGCTCCTCCGTCTTGCACGCCTGCAGATAAGGTAAAAAAAATATATATATATAATTATAAACATAACTGAAACATTGTTGTAAGTGAATTTCACCTTTGTACCTTGGGATTTCAAAGGTGATTTCTTCTAATATGTTGTTTGAATGAGCAGGTGAAGATGTTCCAGAAGAGCTACCATCTGCAAAGACTGGTCAAGTCACAAGTGAATCAGATATAGGCCTTGTCACAAATGGTGCACTCATTTGATAGCACCAGGCCAGTGCAGTCAGGATGCTCAAACTGAGGTGAATACTGCACTGCATACTACCTACTGTATTCAGCTAAATTTAGCTGATATTATGGACTTAAATATTTCAAACAGGATCACCTTGTCCTGGCAGTCCAAACAAATGAAAAACAAAAATGTGACTTTCTTTCTTCGAAAGTGTAACTGGATTGATGGAAATTGTATTCTAGTCTGCTGCTGCACATTTTGGAAAATGTAGGTTATTAAGGTAATGTTAATGCAGCTTTTCTTTGCATAGTATGCATACTACACACTGCAGAAATATGCAAGTATACAATTTTGATCCAAAGAGTGCACACTTCAAGGGCTTCAACGTGTTCTCTTCATATTAAACTTAGATTTTAGTTTGGCCAATTGCTATATTTTTAAATCTCTACACTCATCTTTATTTTATACAGTATGGAAAGCATCCTTATTCCTTACCAATTTCACGGCTGTCGTGTTTTTGCAGAGGGGAGATAACGGCCAAACCGTACTGGCGCTTCGGCGAGAAAGTTAACGGCTTTCTACGTTTAAATACATCAGTGCGCCTCTTATCCGATGTCGTATCTGCAATAAATAAATAAACTATTAAAAAGGTTTACCAAGGAGGAGAAACCATAGTAAAGCTAAATCAGTTAAATTCTCTTATGCGCATGTGAGCAGGCTGGAGCAGTTGCTATAGAGACAGTGTCGCGCGCACCTAAACAATGACTGAAACTGCAGAGATTTAAGACTCCACGGCAAATGAACGTAAACATTGAGGTAAGTTTTAAATATTGTCGCACGAAATAACATGCTTGACTACAACAACATGGTATGGTTTGAATCAAAATAAACAAGTCTTAATTAAACATTAAGTTTTAACTTAACATTAAATAACTGTTACTACATTAAATAACTGAATAAACGGTCAGGAGAGTTTGAAAACGAACACACAGCAATGGTAGCTATAACGTTAGCTGCTAGCAGCTACCCGCTTAATATGACTAAAATACCATTAAAACTATTAATAACTTAACGTTACCTGAAAGACTTTGTGTGACGGTCTCTGGTTCTGCGTTATGTTGACCCATCGTAACTGTCGTCTGTTATTGTAACATGCATCGATTAAAAAGTTTTTTTCCCCCTTCAAATGCATGAGTCGAATTAGAGAAGAGGTTGATTGTTAAGGCCTAAGTTAATTGTCTACACCTGCAGTGAAACCTGCCACAAACGTGCTCCAAATCACGCAGAGGCATAGTTTAAGATTTAAGAGTCAAACTTAATTGTTTGTAAAGCAGTGGGAAATAATTCATGAATTGTTTTAGCTGATTAAAATATAATTTTAAAAGTAAATGCGTATGTGTGTGTGTGTGTGTGTGTGTGTGTGTGTTTAGCTCATGAGTCATGCAGAGGGGCGGAGCTCTACTCCACCAGAGGAGGAGGAGGAGGACGAAGGCTTCACTCCCATTTCTGCAATAGCTCCGGAGACAGATTCACATCTTGAACAACCTGCTGTCTTATTATCAAATCCAGCCCTGCAGTGCCTGGAACAGGTAGAAGCTCTTTTACATTTGTTAGTTCATTGTATCAATAACAGAACTTTTCGCATTGATCATCATCAGTCATTTACATTGCAATAAAAGGTGTCTTCAGAACTTCAGAAAAGGAAAATACAGGACAATCGTGGTTCTTCCAGCTTTGACAATCACCATGTTACAACCATCCCCAGTCCATCCCCAGTCTCCCACTATAGGAAAATAAGGGACACCCAAAATATTTGTACTGTATCACACAGTGTTTGTCATTTCAGTGTCTGCAGTTAAGTATGTGTATAAAAGTTTCTCAGACACTTAACCTATTTATGTACAATTTAATTCTAAAACAAATTTTAATGTCATACAAAAAATTTTACCATCGTTCAAAATAATAGCATTTATCTGAAATACATTATACATTTTTTGGGGTCAGTAATAATAAAAAATAAAAAAAACATTTCAAAGAAATTAAAGAAAGTAGCCTAATAGCCTACATTTATTCAGCAAAATGCATTAAATTAATCAAAAGTGACATTTCTAATGTTACAAAATCTTTCTATTTCAGAGAAATCTTTGAAATTTCTATTCATCAGAGAATCCTGACATTTATTTTTTAAACATTAATAATAATCAGAAATGTTTCATGAGCAACAAATCACATCAGCATATCATTCCCTCAGGTAGATTTTCATGTTTTCATGATGATGATGATTATGTTGACTGTGTGAGAAAGCTTTGAATCACATTCAACTCTCAATGTTGATTATAGTTTTATTTGTTTCATAAAAAATATGAATGTACCTTTAAAAGCACAATTTGAAATGTTTGATATAAATTCTCCAATATACAAAGTTTCTGAAAAAGTAGGCTAATAATTTCATTCTCTTAAGAAAACTCAGCAAAAAACATTCATAAAGGCCTGCCTAGTCACACAGCAATACTTAAAATATTCTTTAAAAGAAATCATCTGATGCTTTGAAAATAAATACTGTACATTTCCTCCTTCAATGTCACAGTTTCTTTTTAACAACCCTATGAGCCTTTAGTCCATGTCTGTTTGCTATCAGGCCATCTATATAAAAACATTTTTTTTTTAAATAGTAACTTTCAGTAAATATATGCATTTAAATTTTGAAACATTCGTACAGGAAAATGGAGTAATGCATTACTTATTTTGCATTAAAGGACATAAATGCTCTCCCTCTCCCTAATCCCACCAGCAAATCAGGATGGCTGTAATATAAATGCTCAATATGTCCCATGACTCCCACCAAAAGAAAAAAATAAGCTTATCAGGAGTCTACAAAGGCTTTGGTGTAGTAAACTAATTAAACACAAGATGGCAGTAGCAGGCACGCACGCACACACACACACACACACAAACGTGAAACCATAAATCAAAGTCCTGGTATTTAGAATAGAAGCTGGATTGTATTCCTATATGCCTATATTTGAAATACAGAGCTTTATAAAAAAATTTTTTAATGCAGTTCTTTTTAATATCTGAGGACTTTTGATGTATCAGGTTATTTAACAGTTATTGTTGAGGAACAGTACCCCCAAAATAATTCTTTAATTATACACAATTTGGCTTAGGGTGCATAATTTTTTGGCCTTATCATCATTTTGACATTTTTAAAAGTTTGTCTGTAGTTTGTTGGATAGTACTCAGAAGTCAGGTTGTGCCACGAGCCCCAGAAGATCCCATCCCTCTTCCCTTTGTACTTTGCTTTGTAGTATTTCCCATTGAGGTTTGCTGACATGCAGGCATCAAACCACCAGCCCGATCCGTAGTACGCCCCACAGTTCCCTGAGGGGTACAAGTCGTTGTCTCTGTCTGGCGTAGTGAAGAACTTCTGATCATGGTTGAAGTGTTTGCTAAATTGCAGAGCGTTTCCAGCAGTCCCCGAGTACCCACTTACAGACAACCGATAATTGAGGAACTCATTCGACACATAGAACTGTTCGTACTTGGCATACCCACGTGTGCCCTCAAAGTCTTCAAGCTCAATACGGAGGATCATGTCCTTGGTTTTGGTGAGCAAGTGGATTTTATCATTTCCAAGCCAGAACTCGCCTTTAGGGTTACCAAAGCCATTCTTGTATTCAGCCCAGGTGCGGTTGAAACTCACGCTGCCATTGATTCGACGCTGCAAGACAGTCCACCCACTACCGAATGACTCCATCTCACAATACACTGCAAAGCTGTCGTGTCTGGGGTCAGGAGTCACCTGGTACACCGCGTTTTTCCTCTGTCCCGGCATGCTGATATCAGAGCAGTCTCTCGGAGTGAGTTTTGAGAGGGCTGTGTAGAGAGAGACTTTTAAGCATGCTTTATAATTTTACATGCATCAGATGCTTAAGATTATTTATTTTTAAAATAGGGGTATCCATATCTGCTCCTTGACGGCCACTGTCCTGCAGAGTTTAGCTCCAACTTGCCTCAACACACCTGCCTGGAAGCTTCTAGTAAGACCTTGATTAGCTGGTTCAGGTGTGTTTAATTGGGGTTGGAGCTAAACTTTCCAGGACAGTGGCCCTCCAGGAGCAGGATTGGACACCCCTGTTTAAAATATAAAGCTTTATAAAATATATATAACAAAAATATAAAATGTATTTATGTTTCTCTTTTGATGCGTGATAAAATTGTGTAGATGACCCAAGACTCTATTATTAGATTTATTTCATCATCATGTGATTCTGTGGCCAGGGTTGATTCCTGCAGCAAGTTTTCATTTTTGAAATTTATGAAATCAGAGACAGAAGATTTCATTGAGGATTTGCGAAACTGTTCCTGCAGAAGCCTCTCTCCTGGCAGGCAACTTGCTTAATATTAAACAGAAGAATCTTCAATGCGATAGCCTCTGTTTGCGGTGGGAGCTTGAAAGCATTCCTTTGAGGAACTTCTTTGTAAATGGTCTAAATCAGTGGTCTCAAACTCGCGGCCCCCTACTTGACATTAAAGTTTAATGTTAGTGCGGCCCGTCGTTGCGTGTGCCGCGTAAAAAAAAAAAAAAAAAAAAAAAATTGTATCCCTTACGGGCTACCATAGATTGGTATGATTGGTACCATAAATTTTCGTGACAGCTGGGTTTGTTGTCAATAGTTGTCATAGACAACCGCGAAGTACAAACATACTGCGCCTGGAAAAAATGAGCGCGTCGCTTCAATTATGAGCGCGCTTGCCGCGCGCCTACATTTGAAATAACGAAAGCGCGCAAAATATGTGAGCGCGATATGTGAACGGCCCCTTGTCGAGCTACCACCAATCAGGCCACGAGCTACTGGCAGCTCGCGAGCGACGTGTTGGAGAGAGACCCTGCTCTAAAACAATGTGAGAATAATCATTTTGAGCTTGTAATATGTGTCCAACAGGTTGATAAGAAGGTTTGCTTTGATTTGTGCAGTCAGTAATTTGAGACACTATACATGTGTAAAAAGAATTCAATAAGACGGGCAGACATGACTGCAAATATTTGTATTTCAAAAGCAATAGTTGTTTTTCTAAGTATAATAAAAGGAAATGTGCCTTCCAAAAAAAACATTCAATATCGTTAATGTGTTGTATAAAGAAAATAAAAAGGACATAAGCAAATATAAATATCACAAATATGTGTTATAGACAAAGAAAGTTTGTAAAATGAACTTCAACTGTCAGAAGGACAGCTCATGAAGAACCAATCATGTACAGAAAGGAATGTTCAAATTCAGAGGAACAGTTCAGAAGAAACGTTAATAATAAATATTGAGAAGATTGGATCAGTTGTGCTCCTTTTTTGTAATACTTGAATACTATTTTTTGTGGAATACTTGATGCGGCCCAGCCTGACCCCGACTCTACCTCCAGCGGCCCCCAGTTAAGTTGAGTTTGAGACCCCTGGTCTAAATGATTCTCTAGTTTACCTCAGTTCTGCATGTCCTAAAAAAGCTAACGCCATTTCTATTTCAAATAAATTCTGTTCTTTTGCACTTTTTTTTTACATCAAAGAATCCTGCTTTCCTCACAGTTACCACAAAAATATTAAGCAGCCCAGCTGTTTTCAACATTGATAAGAATTTTTTTTGGAGCAACAAACCAGCATATTAGAATGATTAAGACTGGAGTAATAATGAATGATAGTAGCTATATATTTTTTAAATATAATAAAAATGTATATACAATAATATAAAAATATTAGTGGTCAAATCGCTTAATCGCATCTAACATAAAAGTTTTTGTTTATATAATATATGGCTATATAATATATATATATATATTAATATATATATGTGTGTGTGTATATATGTATACACACACACACACATATGTTATATGCACATATATAAAACTTTTATGTTAGATACGATAAATCACGATGAATCTAATTGACAGCAGCAGTAAAAAATATGTAAAATAATACATAATATTATAATATATATTATATTATAGTATTATGACTGCAAAAATGATCTTTTTTTGTCTTATTTAACTTACGTTGAGGTTGTTGTTGACCTGTACAATTTGAGGTGCAGGTGCTGCCAATTTTGATGACCATCCTGGTGACGTTCTCAACTTTTCTGTCCACTATATCCTCCACATTTTGCAGATTGAGGAGGTTAAGTTCCTCCAGACGTCCCTGAAGGGAGTTAATCTGCACACGTGCGTTCTTCAGGCTGTTAGACATGCGGTTCATCTTTACCTGCATTTGTTGTACATTAATGCTATTATCACTGTCGTTCCCATTCTGGTAGACTCTCTTGATGGTATCCCCTCGACTCTCCTCTGCGCTGTTTGTTGGAGGGTCTCCACTGTCCTTTTGCAAGTTGAGGTCCACTTGCTGCGAGCTGCACTCTAGACAGGAGCTCTTCAACCTGTTTACTGTCTCCTTCAAGCTTTGCAACTCCTTCATGGTCTTCTCCAGTAGTCGGAATTGCTTGGGAAGCTGTATGGTCAGCGGTGGTATTTGAATCTGGTATGGGCACTCCTCATCTTCACACTGCCCAGCTGGTTTCAGTCTCAACTGGGAGCAGCTGGAACTTCCAGACACCCTGTCTAGAACCCCAGAAGGGCCACTACCAGAAGCCTCTACCTCCTGCCAGACCATTATCAGCAGAGAACAGCACACGTACACCAGCTTCATGGTCTCAAAAACAGTGATCCAAACTGAGAGAGAGGATAGAAGAGAACTGCGTCAAAGTGCAACAGCTTTGCCATTAATATCAGAGAGAGAGAGAGAGAGAGAGAGTGAGAGTGTGTGTGGGTGGGGCAGCAGTGCATTGCATAATTGCACAGTCGACATCAACGCAGGAAGAATTTGGTGAATAAAGGACCTCTCACCCTTTCTCTTAAAACAGCACTATGACTCATGATATTTTTCTTTAATTTTAACCGTGAGTTTAATGAAAGATTCAGTGAGTCAGATAATCCAGACGAGCAGTTTAGTGTTGTGAAGGCAATTGATGATGTTTTTCATTAAGTCAGAATCAGATTTCACTCAAAAATTAACATTCTGTCATTATTTACTCACCCTCATGTCGTTCCTTACCTGACTTTCTTTCTTCTGTGGAAAAGAAAACAAGAATGTTTTCAAAAACTGTTTTTTCAGTTATTCTTCAGACTTCAGAAGAATGTTTTAACTAAAAGAAAGAAAGAAAGAAAGAAAGAAAGAAAGAAAGAAAGAAAGAAAGAAAGAAAGAAAGAAAGAAAGAAAGCCAAAGAGGTTTGAAACAACATGAGGGTGAATAAATAATGACAGAATGTTAACTTTTGAGTGAACTATTCATTTAAAATGAAACTTCATATTTCTTTCCATTTATTCCTGTAAATACTGTGGTGTTCTGCAAAACATTGTCTGTCATCATTCATTTATTGCTGTCATGTGTTTACATTACGCATTGCTAATGTGTTTTATATTGGCATAGGATCATGTGTTGTCACAAAGCTACACTTTACTGTAGTATTGGCTGTAATACAAACAAGCTTTGTTTGGGACTTTGTTGTAATAAAGAAACTGTATTTATTTAATCGTGTGCAGATGTGATCAGTCGTCTGCCAGAAATAGCTTCACAGTTTTTTCTTTTCTTTATTTCTGCATTGAATTGGTGCTGCAATTTTCTGCAGAAATTAAAGTCTGTTCTTTTGTTTTTCCCTACTAGTTTAGCACAGAGAAATGTTATCCAAACTGCCTATTAAATGTGCTCCAGTGTCTTACTTCAAAGCTGGTCCTCCACATGTGTTCCTCATGATTTCCCATAAATTTCACAGTAACCAACTTTAGATTCCTGCCTTGGCTTGGTGCAGGAAGTTTCAGAATAGAAGTGCTATAATATAGGAACTGATAAAGCACAAGCTGCTTTTTAAGATAATGTCCAGTAAAAGTCAACTTTAGCAAATTACATTTTTTGTGACATTATGACAAAAGTCTTTGAATGTGAAAATTAGAGATGACCATGAAGTTGTGGTCACATTCACCAAAGGTGTTTATTGAATTTTCAAGGCAAAATAGAATAATTTAAAAGGAATCCATGCAATTTGGAATTTCTTGTAAAGACAAAAGATTTCCACAATGCTTGTTTTGAAAGTGAGCTGTGTGAAATGTGCTTCATGCGTCGCTACATTATTGACAATAGGCAACGGGTCTTTTTTGTCCATGAAATTTTGCCAATTTTTTTTAAAATTGTGACAGCATCTTAAGAAAGTACAAACAGTCAGTGCATCTCACAGAGCCTGTTTTTCATTTGCGTATTGTCTTTAAGTGAAATTAAACTTACATCATAGCAGTTAATATTATTTATGAAGGACTTTCAACAATAGATGGATCCAAGCCTTGAACAGCAAGCATAATATTTTCAAATCTGGAAGATATTTACTGCATATATTGAATACGAGCTCTCCAACCTCATGTTTAGTTTGTTTGTCTCCACTATAAAGGGGAAAAACACACTTTCAGACTTTGATATAAGCATCTCTGATAATCAGAGATGCTTATATAGAAAACTTCAACTTCAGTGGTCAGATAAACAACACTCAAAGCTTAGATCCTAGCTTTCCATGCTGGAGTTCAAATGTAAGTTAATGTGTGGCACACATATGGATCCACTCTAAAACACACCTGAAATGAGTCCCAGCAAATCCCCATGAACCTGTGTAGCTTTTAAATGCATTTAGGCTAATGTTTATTCGGCTGTTGGATCATTGATAGTTCTTTTTCATCTTTGTCTTCAGCTGTTCTCCATGGGAAAGGTCAGTGGGGAGAAAGTGGCTCGTCTTAGGGCCAGTTTTAACCTCTTGCATGAAACTATGAGAAGTTCTCAGGAATCAGAAATGCATCTGCTGTTGGAGGCGAAGGCCTTACGCACCAAGCTGGAACAGCAGAGGCAAGAGTTGGAGAAGGCCGAGCTGTTTCCTGAAGGACCGGACACAGAGGCCAGCAGACTGAAACAGACACTTCTGCAGTACTACAACCAGCTGAATGAGGACGAAGAAAGAGATTATCAGATACATTTCCAGTTGGAATGGTAAGATGCTCTGCAGGACCACATCAAGTTGTGTGGCTCTGCTTAAGCTCCATGTAAAACACGCAGAAAGAAGATTTGTATATGTATTATTGATGACTTGCTCTGTGCATGGTGCATTTGGTCTCCTTGCAAACCAAAAGGCATTGACTCCAAGCCACTTTATCTTGGCTTCTTGACTTGCCTCCCTGTGTCCAGAAATGTAGTCTCGCCTCCAAAAGGCAGCATGGAAAGCACACTCTATGCTGAGTCACGGCCCACACTGCTGCTGGACAGCGTTTGCTGACATTTTTCTAAGTGGCTTGTGCAAAAAGCATATGTGTATAACTTTGAAATAGGGCAGAAGCTACTTCATCAAGTATTTTTTAAGGTGAGGGGATACCAAAGTTTAATACCAAAACCCCAGTGCTAACATTACATTATATATTAACTCATTAAAACAAAAAATAAAATATTTGTTACTGACAAAAAGCACAAACGGTAAATTAACTGATTGTGTTAACATTCATTTTATAATTTAATAAGTGCTTCAGTAGTCTCGCTTCAATAAGAGAAAACCAAAGTCAAACCAGCATTGGGGAAAAATTATGGATTAAAATAAAAATAAAGTTCATGATATCGGGTATAATTTATACCTTACTTAAAACTATCTGCAATTCTTTTGATGTTGCTGGTGGTTTTCACCAGACTTGGGAAGTGTTTCTGCTGTATTTTATAATGTACAGTACCGCTTTTTTTGTCTTATGCTCACCCAGGCTGCATTTATTTTATCAAAAATACATTAAATACTGTAGAACAATAATATTGTGAAATATTATTGCAATTGAGAATAGCTGTCATCTATTTTAATATATTTTAAAATGTAATTTATTCCTGTGATGGCAAAGCCGAATTTTTAACAGACATTAATAGAGAATAAAGTGATTCTCAAATGATTCAGATTTTTTTTGATGAATAGAAAGTTTAAAAAACAACAGCATTTATTTCAGAACCATTGTACTAGAGATATATTTTATGTATACTGTATCAATTGGTTAGTTAAGTATTCATACAGCAGGCATATTACAGCCAGATGTAGTTTCTGCACATGTGGCTATGTCCTGAGCGGATCCTTCATCCTTAGCCAAACTGACATGGATTCACCTTGCACAGCATACTTTTGTTCACTGTAATCTCTTTTTTTGATGGGACAGTCCAACTCACACTGACAGCAGTCCTAATGCTCAGCTAGAATATTTGTTCATGTGGCTTCAAGTTTTTGCACCGCTTAATTTAAAATGTTCAAAAACCCTTGCCACAAATGTATAATTGTGAAATATTCTTTGTGCTTACCGTGTAAATCTCACGTATTTGAGTTCCTTTTTGCATGAATTGCTTCACATCCTGATTTCTATAAAATGCATAAAGTTTGTTTCACAGAATTGTATTTCTCCTTTTTAGTCTCGAAGAGGAGAAGCTCTGTCTTGAGAAAGAATACCAAGACCAACCTAAACAGACTGTAAGTATCGTTGGGCCATGATGCTTCCGGATTAATACATCATTGGGTTCTCCAGACAATTCATGCTGGTTCACTAGGGAGACCAAATACTTAAAAACACAAAACAAATGATTAGTAAAATCCATCTACTTCATCTAAAATTCAAGAAAGTTCCTGACGAAAATCACACAAAAACATTCTGTTTATATTTTATATTATATCTTTTTATACTTATTAACTAATTTCAATATCTATAAATCAGTCATATAATCATTGTCATCATAATAATCCTAATCAAAGTTGTAATGAAAATGAATATTGTAAAATATAAGGAGCAGCTGTATCAGCTTCTTTATTGTGTGTCATTTGTTTCAAAATCACATGTATGTCTGTGTATGTCCTCACTCAGGAGCTAGAAAATAGGTACATGGACCTGAAGAACAGTTGTGAGGAGGTAAGGAAAGAGGTGGTTTATCTTAGACAGGAAGTGTGGACTTTAACTGAGAGCTTGGAGACTCAACAGAAACATATAAAGATGGAACAAAATGAGCTGGAGGATTTAAAAGATTGTGTTGAGAGCAATGAGGTAAGCAAGACCTGTTAATGACTACTATAGGTTGGAGTATTTAGGATGGGGATTTCAAATGTTAAAAATGTCTTTTACCAGGCTGAGCTGGCTCAGGTGCTTCTCATACCTGTTCAGCTGCGAAAGGAGGTCGACAGGGTCACCCACAATAAATCGTATGTGGCTTGTTATAGTCAAGTTACGCAAAGCACTGGCTCTATTTGACTGACTAATCTGCACTGTATCTATTTGTGTGTCATAGGGAGCTGGAGAAGCAGGTAACAATAATTGAGCAACATCGTATTGAGCATATAGAGCATCAGCAGAAGATGAAGGCAAAGTGCGAGAACCTGAAGGAGGTCCAAAGGGAGGTGGTACGAGAACTAGTAGGCCTTAAGGCTCAGCTGGTGGCTGCAGAGAACAGACAAGATAGACTTCTCAATGAACTGCAGATGACCAAGGAAAAAGAGGCCATCTTCATGGATCAAAGGTCATAATCTCACACCGTTTCTCACACTTTAAAGCCAAATTGATTCAAATTCAAATCAGAAGGCACCCAAACTGTGTTTGAGATAAAGACAATTCAGAAGTACCCATTTTAAAATATAGGGGCTTTCGCACTGGAGGAACCTACAGTAGAACTATTGGCGGAAATACCT